ATATTAATTAACAACTGGTTCTTAATATGCTGGTCAGTCTATGTCAGTCCACAATAACAATCCACAAAAGCCAAAACGACTTATTACTGTGTGTGTATAGCATTGACTGAATTTTAGTTGGTTTTTGTGGATTGTCTGCTTTCTTTCATTCTATACCTTTGACTAAAATTTAATTAATTGACTTTCTGTTTTGACATTGACTGACCAGCATATTAAAAACTGGTTTTTAATTGATATTAGTATTGTTTGTGATGTGGTACTTTGTAATCATAGTGATTTCCTTCATTCTCGTGATAATTTAGTATAATCTTAGTTCTTTGGAAAATAGTTTTCATAATTAATATTTTTTTTTTTTTTTTTAATTTCTCCGTTTTTCTTTTTTTTCTTTTTCATTCATTTAGTTTTGTCTGTTATTTATTCTGTATCTTAATTATCATGACACATGGAGCTCACCGTCGATTAAAACATTGTATTGATTAGTTATATTAATTAGTTTGTTCTCTGAAGAGGGCTAAAAAGTTAGCCGAAACATGTAAGAACGTTATTATAATAGAAGAGCATTATTCAAATAAATGATTTTTGTCAGTTATTAGTGGTGTTTTTAATTGCATGACGTCTTCTGTACCAGATTCCTATTGCCCTTTCTCTCCAATTTGTATATAAATTCTTTGTAATCAATATAAATACTTAATACACTAAATAACAAATAAATATAATAAGAAATGTATCCATCATAAACATATATTTTTTCTTACTTTTTAGCTTCTTCCAAGTGACAAAGATAGATATACGACAGATCTCTTTTACGTTCCTCGTCTATATTCTCCGCAGATGTTCTCATCTCTTCTAAAATACATTCATATAATATTTTTAAATATTTTAGAGCTCATGTTCAATATAAGAATGTACATATTTTATCCATATCAAGATACAAAATATACTCAATCTTTTTCGTTAATGTCAATACCAAAAATATTTTATTGGGTACTCTGATCACATTTTATTATTTTCATACATAATTGCGTATACAAAATTATACACACGTGCGACATTATAATTATACGTGCGTATTAAATTAAAAAATTATCTACGATACAAAAGTTTGACAAGCGCCAACGAAATAATGGAAAAATCTGCGAATCTCGTTCGTTGGTAAAACATGTGTGTGTATGTATGTACCCACATTTATTAGTACAATTAATAAGTACAATAAAGCAATGCAAGCATCTTCACCTTTCTTAACTTTTGTTAAAGTGCCATTCACATTTACCATCGTGGGAGAGAATGTGGACACGGCTGTCACATCAAAAACCGAAAGCAACAGGTGAAAAACATCGAATGATACCGATACGTTACACTCTTCCAAATTCAAAATAATTAGTTAATGGCAGCACTGATGCTACCGATCAGTGCTGACAACAATGCGGAACGAAAACACGTCATAGACATAAGCGGGGAGCACAGACTTCTGCATAACGCATAAACCATATACATAAAGAATTTGATTGGTCCATTAACTCATGCATAAGAAAATGGACCAATCAAATTCTTTATGTATATGGTTTATGCGTTATGCAAAAGTCTGTGCTCCCCGTTATAGCACGAGTATCGAGACCAGAGGCCCTATTCTGTAACTCTTAACGACAGTGTCGATATCGTTACAGTGTCGTTGCGCAGCTTTTTTATCGTATGAAATATCTGCGCAACGACACTGTAACGATAACGACGTTGTCGTTAAGAGTTACAGAATAGGGCTACAGAGGCCCTATTCTGTAACTCGTTAAGCAGTTAACGACATCGTTGCGCAGCTTTTTATACCATAAGATATCTGCGCAACGATGTCGTTAACTGCCTTAACGAGTTACAGAATAGGGCCTCAGAGGCCCTATTCTGTAACTCTTAACGACAGTGTCGATATCGTTACAGTGTCGTTGCGCAGCTTTTTTATCGTATGAAATATCTGCGCAACGACACTGTAACGATAACGACGTTGTCGTTAAGAGTTACAGAATAGGGCCTCAGGGTCGGATTCTCTAAACGTTTTATCGATGATTGTCGCTATCGTTAACTAGAGACAGCCAATGAGAGCAGCGCTTTCTTTTAGGATTGTCCTGCCATTGGCTGTCGCTAGTTAACGATAGCGACAATCATCGATAAAACGTTTAGAGAATCCCGGCTCATCACATATTTTTGCATGACTCATAAAGGTACATTCACATGCAGTGTAACTTGCATAAGCGTAACTTGCGTCAGCCAATCAAATTGTCTCAATTAAAATAAAGGTACAATTTCACGTGCTGCTAAAATAAGCAATTGGAGCGACAAGTCTGTCGCTCTTCCAACGGCTGAAATTTTGTAGTTTGAACAGTTTTAATTACAAGCATCAAACAATCAAATGCTATCATGATATCACCATAGATGAAGCCCATTGGATAAAACATCAGGTTAAGCTTAATCACAAGTTAACCAGATAATGAAAAATCGGGCCTAAAAAGCATGGGAATGCTCGGTCTATGGCCGGTATTCATAGTCAGTTCTTATATTCAAGACCATCTTAAGTTCAGTCTTGAAGAGTTACGAACCAATCAGAGGGCCGCTTTAGCATCTTAAGACATTACTTAAGACAGTCTTGAAATAAGAACCGACTATGAATACCGGCCTGTGTATATATGTCGTTGATTTAAGCGGGAAGCACAGACTTTTGCTTAACGCATAAAGCATGTGCATAAGGAATTTCATTGGCCCATTTTCTTATGCATGAGTCAATGGACCAATCAAATTCTTTATGTATATGATTTATGCGTTATGCAAAAGTCTGTGCTACCCGCTTTACATTCACTAATCATTGGCTGCGTTCAGCAGAAAAAGCAGCTTTGCAACGGTTGTAAAATTCTTGAATATGATAGGCTTATACATTTAGATCTAATGAGGAAGTAAGGGCAAGACCAATCATATTAAAAAATTTTGCAACAGTTGCAAAGCTGCTTTCTCTGCTGAACGCAGCCATTGGCTGCGTTCAGCAGACTCAACAGTTTTGCAACCGTTTTATGATTCGTCTCGCTGATTGGATTATAATTTTAGATCTAAAGGAATAGTCCTATCTCAGCAAAGAATCATAAAACAGTTGTAAAACTCATGGTGTAATAAGAATGGTGAAACATTGTGCATAGTAATGGCGGCACGATGAGTGGAGCCAATGAAATTTAGGCCACTAGTGTGGCTAATACAATTGATAATATAACACGCTGGCATAATGAATTTTCCAATATTATATTATCGAGACTTAATTTTTTCTTTAATTTTACAATATTATATTATGATTTATTACGGTTTATACTTTACAGCTAATTCAAACTTCAAATCAAACAAGGGGCAACCATATTGCTTTTGAACATTTGGACCCGATTCTTATTGGTCGAGACAATGGACTACTGCACATCCATGATGTTGTTTCACCTTTCTTATTACACCATGGTAAAACGAGTCTGCTGAACGCGACCATTGACAAACTGAAACATGGCGGTACCAATCACGAAGAAGACCATTTATCTCTCCACTTTTACTAGAGTCAAGCGGGAAGCACAGACTTTTGCATAACGCATAAAGCATGTGCATAAGGAATTTCATTGGTCCATTTTCTTATGCATGAGTCAATGGACCAATCAAATTCTTTATGTATATGGTTTATGCGTTATGTAAAAGTCTGTGCTCCCCGCTTCAGACGGAACGTGTCCGAGCACGTTATGGCGGCAAAATATCATGTGATACAAATTTTCGAAAATGATTAGAAAAGTGCGTCACCTTACAAAAATTTCAACCAATAATATTTTTTTGTTGCAGCGTGCTACACATGAAAAATCAACTTAAAGTAATTTTTATCAACTCCGATTATTAATTCAATCATTGAAATTGACCAATCGCATTTATCAATGACAGATGCAAATTAATTGTAATTGGTAAAAATTATCCTCGGATTCTGTAACCGCAAAATGCCTTGCGCACTACCTTCTTTTGAAAAGTGGATATCAACTATATAACAACATTCACATTTTTACGGCGCTCCTGATGGAAATAAATCGCTAAAATTGTTAAAATCTTTATTAATTTAATAAATTTTAGTTATTTTAGCGATTTATTTCCATCAGAGAGAGAGAGAGAGAGAGAGAGAGAGAGAGAGAATGGAGCACCGTAAAAAAGTGGTGTTATGTAATTTACATCCATTTCTCCAGAGGGCAGTTGCGCGGCAACATTTTGCGGTTACAGGAAAAAAACTCTCATATCTTCTCTCTGATTTCAACTTATTAGTTTGAGAAACTAAATGAAAAACGGTGTATTTCGATGTATTCGATTTCTGGTACATTGAAATCGTTGTTCTTTTTATTTTAAATTCCTTAAAATGAGATAAATATCTAAAGAGACAAAGATAAAAAAAAGAAGGGAAAATCGCAATGTGAAGTAGTGCAAAAACAACCTTGCTAGTTTTTAATATATTTCGTCGACCGTTCAGAATGTTTTGCAACTAATGGAAGTTTCTTATTGATTAAATTATATAGTACTTTTAGATCTAGAGAATCCTATAAAGTATCACAGAGCAAAAAAACTAACATTTGCAAAATAAACATTTTGCTGAACACGACCATGAAAACTTTTGTAACTTTGTGAAGAGTCATAATACATAGATATGATAACATTATATTATTTACATTTTATTTTTGTATATATTATTATGGTATTATTGTTGCATTAATGTTAATAAATACCGATATTGGTGAAATAATTAATAATTATATCACTCCAATATTTAGATGTGAAATCCGCGCTCCGAACGTACTGCGATACTCGCGCAACTTCACGCGTGTCGAGACATTCGCGGTCATTCGTAATATCTCGTATCATCTCGCGCGAACGTAGGCGCGTATCAAGAAGGCCCGTTCTGCCCGTTTCGTCGCGAGGTGGCGGGCGATCCGTAGCGGACGGGCACGCAGCCGGGGTTCGAGGGGGCTGTCTGTCTATCCGAATCCGATATCTCCACGATATCCTCGGTCCGCACCTCCGGCCTAAGGGTGGGTCTGTTCTTCGTGCGGGAGGGGTCGCGTAGGAGCGCGGCCGCGGACCTGTGGCCGAATCGGCGTCGTGAGCATCGCTTCGAGTCTCGCGCGTACGGGAAGTGGCGTGTGGAGGAAGGGCGGCTCCGCGTGAAAGATCGTCCGCTCGCGTGGTTCGAGGGACCAACGGAAGGAGGACGTCGACGACGACGTCGTCGGCGACGATTGAGAGAGCGGACGGAACGCAGCGTTCCCTGCGCGCTCCTTTCTCGACTCCCCGTTCCCGGCTGCATTTCGTGGAAAAGCGAGAGAAAGAGAGAGAGAGAGAGAGAGAGAGAGAGAGAGAGAAAAGTATAGGAGAAAGAGAAGGAGAGCGAGCGACAGGGAGACAGACACGCATCAGCCCCCCCGGCACGTAGGTACGCTCCAGTCGTTCATGGCTGCGGCTCGGGGTGGGGGAAAACAAGCAAGCCGTCTAACGACGTAAGATCCCAAAAGCTCTTTATGCAGGAATATGTCAAGTTTAAAAATTGGTAAGTCCAATGCAACCGGCGCGAACGCGCGTCCGTCTGTCCGTCCGTCTTGTCTGTTCGCTTCTTGTGCTCCTCGTACGATCCGTAAGCGCGAAGGTTGTGTGTCGTGTCGCTCGGTTATTTCTCGTCTTCCTAAGGATAGAGAAGGAGAAGTAGAGAGCCACGGTCGTTCGTGTTGTGTGAGTCAGTGTCGTTCGTTTCGGCCAGTTTTAATTCTCTCCTGGTAATACTTCCACGCCGGCGGTTTTCCGACTCGCCGGTCCGTTCGAGTTCCCGAACATGGTGTGAATGACGATTGACTGTGCGCGCAGATGCGGGGCATCTCTCTCGTACACACGGCGGGATTTGTCCTCGTGCTTCTCGCTGCCGAGCTTCGCTCTCTTTTTTTCGTTGCTTTTTATTAGATATATCACGTATACTGGAAGGAGAGCATTTGGATTGACGCGACCACAGGTTTGAAGTACCCTCGGCTTCGAGGGACTCGCATTAGTAGTGTTTTGCGCTTAGAGCAAGCGTATGTTTTATGCAAATTCGAGTCGTAAGTTCTGAAAGAGCATAGCTACATCAGTGCGACAGATCGTCGTGTTCAAGAATGACGTTTGATTGATCCCTTTGATCACTCCGGTACTCTCCTTCCTGTCGGAACGCTCGGGGATCTTTCAACGATAAGATGCATGATATAAGAAAAGTAGGAAGAAATTTTCATATCGCATACCGTGTATTTTGTTGCGACAAAAGTGAATTTTCGTCGAGCTCTCTCTTTTATTTGATTGGGCGAACCTAGTTCGACAGATAATGCACCTTTTCTTTTAATTATACTAAGAAATATGTTAAATACCTGCGTTAGTTATGTATATTTCTTATACTGTTTGTTAATTATTAGCTTAAGTAGCACATTTTTTGTCTATTGCATGAATATATGCTTGTTTTATAGTATTGTGACAGATTATATACTGTCTATAGAAGTATTATTATTACGTGTATTAGCGTAACTGTCACTCAGTTCAAGAATATGATAGGCAGTATGATAATTATTGATTTATACATCGCTTATAACAATTTTCAACTGATGGAAAATGTTATTAATTGTTGCATTGAGTACAGTTTAAACAATTCTGTTGCAGCATTTATCGTGGCAATGTTATTTCGATCATAGAAGGTATTGCATGTTTATAGAAAAATAAAGATTTTAGAAAAGTAGGCAGGCATGCCATAGAGTGAATCTTTAACGTATCAATCGAAATTATTTCATTTTTTCTTTCCGCAATAAAATTTGGTCTTTGTATATAACTTTAAACTCATTATTCAAAATTATATACTGGCATGAACGTCATTATTATTATGAACGTAATAAGTATCCTGCACAGTTATAAGATGACCGTTATTACAAACTTTCTTGGAAACTTTGTAATTTTTTGAAAGTCGCAAATGCCATTCTGGGATGCATAACGCACTCTATGACGTGAATAGCTTTAAGTACTATAATAAAAAATGAAGTTTTATACTCTGATAATCTCGTGCTAATGATCGTTTATTTTGTTTTCCCCAAAGTGTTGGTAATGCACTTGCTTGCGCTACCCTTGAGAACGATGGATTCTGACCAAAGAAATCAGCAGGTGCATCAGCACTGAACAAAAAAAAAAGCAAAAACTAAATAATGAATGCCTGCTGCACTCACGCCGTCGACTCTGTACAAGCAGACTTAAAAGATTTGTTGAAGTAGTACGTGAGTAGCAGCTACTCACGCCACACTCAGCTGTACATACAAAATCTAAATACATATATATCGTCGTATATATATATGTATTTATTTTTACGCACATGGCAGCCATGAAGCATGGTACGTTTTATTTTTGTATGCTTTGCTTTGTATGTAAATTTTTCTTTTGATTTACATACTTCTATGACGTTTTCATCAGGTCCACATGAGTATTACTTTGATCAGAACTTGTTCGTGTGTACCTCGATAAATTTTTATTATACATTTCTCGATACCTCGGCGAATATTTGAGGATCTTAATTTTCGTATTATCTTTGACATTCGATCTGAAATTGGATTGTTGCGTGAATAATAGATTTTGTGTTGATTGTGATTTGTTACGTAAATTATTGAAGTATATACTAATTGTAATTTGTGTAATGATTAGGAACAGTAAGTTTAGTCTCTCGTATGTCTTATTATCAAAAACAGTATACGAACCTGATGATCTTGTATAATTTTATTTTTAGTTATAACGATAAATTTCTTTAATACTAAAAAATTATAAAAATTAGAATTGGAAATTGGTAGTTTATAAATCACAGTAGTGTTTGTAATAAGTATCATGTACATATTACTAAATGATCATTAAACAAACATTAATGAAAGTGGAACAGTAACTATTTAACGTAATTATTTCTTACGCACCTTTATATTGGTATGTACTACGATAATAACCATGATACATTTCAGGCAAGACGAGTCAAGACGACGTATGTTACGTTGTCGCCAAATATGATTATGAGGCACAGGGTGCCCAAGAGCTAGATTTACGTAAGAACGATCGCTATCTGTTGCTGGACGATTCGAAGCATTGGTGGCGAGTGCAAAGCGCGAGAGGACAGGCAGGCTATGTACCAAGCAACTATGTTAAGAAGGAGAAGCCTTCGTTGTTCGACAGTATTAAGAAGAAGGTCAAAAAGGGCTCTGGCTCGAAGACCCTACCATCCAGTAACTCGCCGTCCCGGGCGGTCGAATCCCCCATCATGGCGCGACGTTTGCCGGCCGATCCAAGTGAGGCGATCGGTACCGCAGTCGTCAAGTACAATTATCAGGCGCAGCAGGCAGACGAGCTATCCCTCGTGAAGGGCACCAGGATCCTGATACTCGAGAAGAGCAACGATGGCTGGTGGCGAGGTCAGAGTGGCACTCAGGCTGGCTGGTTCCCGTCAAATTACACTCAAGAGGAAGGCGATGCTGATGATACGCTTCATACATACGCGATGGCCGAGAATGTGCTCGACATCGTGGTGGCTCTCTATTCGTTCTCGTCCAACAACGATCAAGAACTGTCGTTCGAAAAGGGTGATCGCCTCGAGATCCTTGACCGTCCACCAGCGGATCCGGAGTGGTATAAAGCGAGAAACAGTCAGGGACAGGTCGGACTGGTACCGCGCAATTATCTCCAGGAGCTCAGCGAGTACTTGACACAACCGTATCGCGAGCGTGGCATGACGAGTAGCGAGATCAGTCAAGGGGATTCCCTCGAACGAAGGCCGGATCCCGGTGATCGGCCGCATCTCGTCGGCAAGCCTTGGTACTACGGTAGTATTACGCGCTCGCAATGCGACACGCTGCTCAATCAACACGGCCACGACGGAGATTTCCTAATCAGGGATAGCGAAACCAACGTGAGTATAACTATTGCTGTCGCGATTAAATCAGAACGTTCACTCGGTTTTAGCAAATTTCCAGTGAGATGTAATCGATTATCTTGTAGCCGAAGCTTCGCAAATATTTCTGCATAGTTTGTTCTTATTTACACACATAATTTCTGTTTGTATTTCAATAAAATTCACGCATCTTTAAAATTCGATTAAAGTTCAAAGATTTGCTCGCTCAGTTTGCAATTAATCTGACAAAGCAAGTATTGCAAGAATAGCGTTATTATTTATCGCTCTCATTTGTCAATTTTTAGATGGGCGACTATTCGGTATCCTTGAAAGCACCGGGACGTAATAAGCACTTTAGGGTACACGTGGAAGGAGCGTTATACTGCATCGGTCAGAGGAAGTTCCACACGTTAGATCAGCTTGTAGATCATTATCAAAGGGCCCCAATCTACACTAATAAACAGGGAGAGAAGCTGTACTTGGTGCGCCCACTACCAAAAGGCAATGCCAGTAGCAACGGTTGCTAGATGAATTCGTGCCATGAAGAAGGAGATGTCACAGTCCATGCGCTTTCAGATGTATCGCTAAGATACACGACGCCTGCCTAGTAATATCAATATCACACATCTCGTACGTTTATACAATAACAATTAATATAATTGGTCTACTCATATATTAGTGTTTCTCGATTGTTTTCACCATTTATACAGTGAAATATAATTTATTACTCTAAGTGAATCGGTAACTCGTATTACACTCCTCGGAGCTTCCAGATTACTCAGCAAACGAACAAAGAAACATTAATACGGCAGCTACGTGAACTAATTGACAACAAGGCTTATCTTTATATTCATATTGTAATTGTAAAACGCGAACCGACTGTTATTACGATTAATAATATATTACAACTGCATATAATATAGACTGCAAGTGTAATGATCAAGTAATAATTAATTATCATGCAATTATGAACGATTAAGTGGATCTCTACTCTAGAGCTATTGGTATTGAATTATAACAAAGACTAAGTGTTCATTTGTGATTTTGTATTTATATTAGAAGTTTTTAAGTAAATAAACTGTATTTAAGTGTGCATAAGACAAAATGTACCCTCTTGTTTCCTTTTGTTTTATCTTCAATAATACAGGTATAATACAGATACGTATGCGTTTAGAATTGTCATGTGCTACGATAAACAAATTTTTATTTCTTTTTCAACAAACACATCGTTACTATGTTGTAGAATTGGTTTTTTTTAGATACATGTATGTTGAGAAAAATCAATGGAAAAAAAAAGAAAGATTTTCTATATAAAAATCAGTGTCGCCAAGAAGTTGGAAGTATCGCCAAGTAACACATTCATGATTAGTAACAAATATTAATCTTTATTAACGTGTATATTATATATTCATAAATAAAAGTATTATTCTTTTTCATTTATATAGATATGAGATTGGTGCTCCTGGGGGATAAAAGTTAATGGCACTAATTGCCAATAAGGTCACGTATATAACAATTTGCCTAATCTAAATAAATTTTAGTTCGCATTATTTGTTCGTAACTCCATTAAAAGCTTACGCGTACATAATCATAAGAAGGGGTTGTTTGAATTCCTTGTCATGTTGCTTACTCCCGTGCCCACCTGTAACGACAATAAACGACAAAGTGAACAAAGCTTATCGAGGAACAAATATTTGCCGAATTTGTTACAGAGAATTCAAAATTATGGTTTACCATGAACGGATTTGCATGATACGCTGGTACTGTTGGTTGCCATACTTTGTTCGTTAACGGCGTCATGAGTTGACTTAATTGGAGTACGTCTCCGTTACTAGGTGTGCCAATGCCTATCCATTGCGAATCTGAAAGTTCATTTCAGTATTAGACTAAACACTAACGCAAACTACTGACGATAAATATAAACACGATATTTCTATTGTTTATCCATGATTACTGAATTATTTCCTTTTTTTTTTCAATTTTGAAAAGATCAAAACAAATGCATATATAATACTAATAAAAAATAACTTGGAAGAAATAATCGCGTTATCTGAAAGTTGTATAGTAGCTGTATTTTTTAAGAAATTTAGTTTAGAAATGAATTTTCTCGTATCTCACCATTATTTACAGGAAACTGAGTCGATTTAAATGGATTCGCGGGGTTGTACAGAGAGCTATCGACGGATTGAGTATTATTGTTGACTACATTTGCAGACGGCCGCCATAAATCACCACCCGTGAACGGGTTTGAGATGACGTGCGTTTGATTATTTACTCCTATACTCCAGGTAGCGTTCGGTGCTGCAATTGAGAATTTTAAATATTCTGATGCTTTCTCTTAATAGAGCGATAAGCTAAGTAATTAATTGGCGCTTTGTTCCAAACTTGCAAATTAACAATATTCACCATTTGAATTATTTGCATTCCATGTGGACGTAGATAAGGTTCCAGTCGTCTCTTCTTTCAATTGCGTTTGCTTCATTAATGAGTCTAAGTCTTTAAGTGCCGCGTAACGATCTTCCGAGGGTGGCGCATATATCCCATTCATATTCATCGTGGCGTTTCCACCGACCTGATTAAACATTGCGGACGTTTCCATACCTCAATAATAAAATTATTCATTATAAGACAAGCGTTACAATTTCGATATTCTAACATAAGGAAGACAGAGACACTCTGATACCGTTACTCACTCTTCGAATTATTGAAGACTGGATTATTGTCAAAATTAGCGAAGAACGGCTGCGGTGCGATCGGCTGCTGTTGACCGACCAGCGCCGCCGTCGTCGGGCAGAAGGGATCAGGAACTTTGCTGAAGTCGGCGACGAAGTCCGTCGAGAAATTGTTGGAATTATTCAACGCATCCGTGTTGCTCGGCTTCTGGCCGACCGGTGCGGGCAGCGTTGTGGACGCTCCCGAGTTCGGTACCCTCGGAATGCCGCTCGTGGACTGTGATCTTGGCTGCGTCGTTATTGTATTTTGATTTGCGATCGACGGGTCTAGATAATATCTTTTAAGCTCGTACTTGGCGCTCATCAGGTCTTTCATCTTTTGCTCGTCCTTAGTGTCCAAGTTCTGCGGGGAGTTCGAGTTCATCAAACCCAGCCATATTCTCCTGCAGTACTCGTTGCCGTGCTCCTTTATGAAGTCTATTTCGTCCTGGGTGAACATCGCCATGGAAATCGACTTTACCCTGTGCGGTGGAGTCAGGCCTCGTCTGGAAATGCAACACGACGGCTTGTAGATGAGGATTCTGACTCGATATCGACACAGAGATCGAATAGATCGGACAGGTGCGGGATAATCTTGCTTATCGTAACGTGATTTACGTAAATGCATCTCCAGTGTTTATAAAAATGTAGGCATTGGGTCTTTTTCACGAAAAATATTGACGATAATATACGACACGTGTACATCAGCTTATCAGCGATAACAGAGAAATTTTAAGTACATTGTCTCGGTGCATTAAGTTGGAGTGAAACAAACTATGCTACTTACTGCACCAAGACAATATTGCATTAACGCACCAATTTAAAATACTCATCGAAAAAGAACAGGTCTATTCTTGAAAAGAAACGTATACGAAAAATTAGAAAAATACTATAGTATACGTTACGTATACTATAGTATTTCCCTAGACCTTCGCATACGTTGCTTTTCAAGAATAGAGCCCCAGATCTCATGTAAACGCATCTACAGTTGAACAAACTATCATCATTGTTGTGTCTTTTCTACGAAAATATTTACAATAATTTACGTCAGCTGATCGATGGTAACGGAGAAACGTTATCTTATATTTTGGAAACTGAGCGTTTCTATACGCTTATCAATTCGAAATTATTTGTTAGAGAATGTGAAACAAGAAAGAGAAAGAGAGAGAGGGGGGGGGGGGGGTAGCAATTGTAATTACGTCATAGATATTTTTTTTTCGATCGCGGCTCGCTCTGAGATACTTTTGTCCCCCGGCTTGCTGTACGTCAATCGTTAAGTTTCCGTGACGAATAATAACGAAGCTCGCAATACGTATAGGTTTGCAAATATAGTATATCTGTACATAATGAGATTTAAAAATCCGCACGTGCGCGCGTGTGCAGTGCAATGCGACGCGATGCGGTGCGACGCGACCGCCTCTCGCGCAATGCGACTTGACCGATTAAAAGGCGCGAGTCGATAATCGGCACCTCGCGTATCACGCGTGAGTGATCGCAGTTTCCTGGAAGGGAAATAAGAAAGAGAGAGAGAGAGAGAAAAAAAAGAGGTAAAAAGAGGGGAAAAAGGGACGAGGATGAAAAAGGATGTTTCCTTTAATTTCTTTTTCCTTAACGGAGCGCGTAACATTTTGACTATTTTTTGACCAACGATAAACCCAGAACTGCGCACAAAGAAAACGTCGACGTCGATTGATAGCGCTAACTTCCTGGCCGCGCGTGGACGCCGCCGACGTTTTAACGCGATGACTCATTTAGAGACCGTGCGCGAGAGCGCACAGTCTCTCCCTCGCTTTCTCTCCTTCTCTCTCTCTCTCTCTCTCTCTCTCTCTCTCTCTCTCTCTCTCTCTCTCTCTATCTTTCTCTTCTCTTCGCGTCGCAACGCAACGCTTGCGAAGAAGAGGCCTGGTCCTGTACACGTGTACGTCGCCCGAAGCGATTTTCATACATACAGGCTGCGTCCCACATAAAAGGACATTTTCGAGGATAACGGCAGCGGTGGTGTTCACCAGGACACCATCTGTCCCGCTTGGCGATCACGCGCGCGCGATACGGATTTTCCCTCTTTTTATTTATAATCGCCACCACGAATTACAGTCAGGATTAGGATTTAGAACGCGATATAGAACGCACGGCTATGCGCGACGATCCCGATACCATCGAACGTGTGGTACCGCTGACCTCGCTGTGCTCCAACTCGCCGTGCCCTTTTCTTCGAGACCGTTCCATGGGGGAGAGTGGTTGGGTGATCTCGCGGACCCCCATCTTCGCAACGTCCTCGTTTCATCCGAAACGAGACGTTAGTACAATAAAATGTTAGTGTGACATTTACCCAATGTCATGTCGCGAGGGGGAGGGGATACGGGAGGGGGAGGGCAGTTAACACGCGATCCAGGAATCGTCCGCGAGGGCGGTGTGGTAGCGGGGTAAAGAGGGCGACGAACAGACAGAGAGAGAACTTTTGGAGCCAGAGCTACTTACAGCATACCAGAGCAAGAGGTGCAGACGAACGAGCCGATCGTCATGTTGACATAAGTCGGCCCGCGCTGGTTGCAGTCGAAGCATTCCTTGTTGCCCGGCTGCGAGACCAGTTCGCGGAGCGTCTTCAGGTTCCTCTCGTCCAGCTTCCTCTTCGTAGACGCCATGCCCCCGTCTGCCTGCGCCACTACGTACGTTAAGCCCGTGGGTACGCGCGCTCGCGCGCGGCGGGAACGGGTTTGCGCCCTCGCGAGATGAACTCGGGCCTACCTAGGTCGTCGAGCTGTGTCGAACACGGGCGCCGATCCCTAGGTACGTGCCAGGGACTGTGTGTGTACGAACCACCTATCACGCCGCGCCTACAAAAACTGACTGTGCGGTGTGCGCAGCGCCGCTGCGTTCACTCTCCTTCTCTCTTTCATTCTTCCTTAGCCCTCGCTCGCTCGCTTTCGCTCCCTTCCTCGGACTTCGGTCACTGTGAAACAAGCGTTTTACAGGGATACGTCCAAGTGATACATCCAATGAAAGCGCGTGGATCCTAGGGATTGTGTGAGACGCCATTTTCGTTTCTAGGAAATGGATCTTCTCATTGGATGGAGGGTGAATCCGTCTTTAGAAAGAGTCAGCTGCGTTTATACGTGCATACGTCACACACAGCCAGAGGGCGACTTCGATTAAAATCTGATAGATTAAAATCGGCAATTAAATCGATCCGCGGAATTGCTTAATTATAGCAAAAACTCTTTAGTTATAGATTAATAACGCAGTACTGACAAAGAAACTTCTCAAGATGTCAAATTCT